AACATGATGTATAACGAATATATAAAATTTGAATATAATCAGTCAAAGCATTTAAGAGATATGGCTCTAGAAGCCCAATCATTAAAACAAAATGACCGCCAGTCAGCCATTTTGAAACCTGTAATGTCTAATAGTCTATGGGCTACTGTAGACCCCCTTCCCCCACCCCCTTAGGGATTTTCATTGACCATAATTTTTAGTTAGCCAGGACCCTCAGCTTTCTTAATCAGGTTGTTTATCATAAAATTGGTGGTGGGTGTGAGAGCCATGGCTGTTGCCATGGCAACATATTTATGAAATAAGGGAATTGAAGAAAATGACATATCTCTGTAAGTAAACAACATACAAACTCAAAATAAATGTCCATGTATATAGTTTTGATGATGCCCAGTTGATTATGACCATGACCTTGGTCATTCATTGTCAGGGTCATGGTGTATACAAAAGAAATTTTGAAATAAAATATATTTTTGTGTGAAAGTTGAGGCCAGAATCAATTTTCCCACATTTTAGATGGATGACATATACGCCTTGGAATGTCATTATGGCATTTGACAGGAAGAGCAGACATCGTGAAGTTGGTGAACAGATTTGGGCAATGTGTGTCATATTCAGTTATACTAGAAATCTAGACTGCTATCCACATGGTTATAAAATCCCATGATAGTCCAATTCTATCTGGTATCAAAACACAAGGTAATGAAGTGCTGCACTTCTGTTGGGACAATTTTGATGTCAACGAAGAGACAACATCTGGTGCTGGAACGACTCACTCAACTCCTGGACTTGTAATTCAAGAGAGAGTCATTGACCAATCAAATGATGGCAATTATAAAATACCTGTCATGGCTAGGACAGATGAAGTTGAAATAATGGAGCCGTGTTTTGTCAAAAAATTACTCAACCTCAACAAACAAGAGAATATGTTTCAGACGTCAAAGTACCTGACATGAATGGGTGCTGTGCAGGACACTGCCAAAAACAGTTGACCAAAAAGGTACCTAGTTGGGGAGGTTGGATGTCTCTTACTGGAGAGAGAAGAAAAGAAAGAATCAATAGTGGAATACATGCCCTGATCAATGAAAACATGACTGTGATGCATGTGCTATAGATGTCCCAGGAGGCATCTGCTGCTGTTGGTCAGCCCTACATGTTGTTACATTTGATCTAGCTGCTGTCATGCTGCCAGGCCTGTTATCATAACATCACTAGAAGCTCTAGAACGACTGTTGTTTACTTCATTCTATGACGATGTAGGTGAAGTCATTGGCGAAGAAGAAATGAAGTCAATGTCCAGATTAGCAAACAAGCAAAACTCAGAGAACTTGTCTGCTGTCATGGAGAACCCAATGTAGAAGGAATGGATACAGAAGTATGATGAGTACAAAGCCAAGTTGCATGCAGGAGAAAAGGGCACCACACCACACCACACGTTTCATATGGCCTGTATGCATGAAATGTGCCCTCTCTTCTTTAGTCAAGAAAAGCCGAACAATGCAACTATACATCACTGTACTTGAATGTACTCCTTTACCTTTCACACACACACCTTGGCACTATGGAGCTTCTTGAGAACTATGGAATGAGTGTGAATCGATCTAGTGTTCCCAATTCTCGAAATGCTATTGATATAACAATAGAACAGACCTATAACCGTTATGCCAGTGGACATGGTCCTTGAATCATTGGCTTCACGCGCAACTTGGCAGCCTATCATAGATGGTGTTTCACTCGGATGCACGAGCAGACTATCTACAGGCAACACTTAAATCTGCTGGCAATGGAAATGATGAGATGAATTACCACAAAAATGTCACCGCATCAGAGATTGTATAAGGGAAATCTGCAGAAGATGATCACTGCCTTCTAAAACTTTATCAATCTCTTCATGATACCTGATGTGCACAATCTGTATTGCATATCATCAGGGAGACCAGTTTCAGACGAAATATCCATTGATTTACTTGCAGTTGACACACATGGCACCAACGCATACAAGAGATTCATAGAAAAGAGACTAGTGCAGAAGACAATCACTTTTAATGCATCAATCATGAGACTGAAGTTGAAGTCGTTTGCATCAATGGCAGTGAAACAGTCTGTAACAAGTTCAACAAAGAAGACAAGGAACTGGTAGCAGAGATAAGTGTATTTGGGAGGCTCATACTACTTGCAATGAACCATGATATATGCATGGAAAAGGTGATGGCATAACCACTTGGCCCAGTGCCAAGTGTACTCCAACGCTTGGCGAATTCTGCTTCGCAATGATAGGAAGAGCAGGCATCGAAGGAGTCTAGCCACTGCTGGTGGTGCACCGTACAATACTGACAAGACAAAATTTCTGCACAAACTGGAAGAGGGACATACTGTGACAAGAAGGCCAGATTATGTGGTTCATTTTATTGATTGTAATGCAATGTTCCAATCACAAACCACAAATTCCACAAACTTTTGAAGAGTTGGGTCGGCGTATATTTGCATTTCTCCCAAATACTATCCGTGTTGGCTTTATCAAAGTTACATACCAGACTTAGAGTATCCAGAATATAGAGAGGGGACGCCGTGGCACATCACAGGAATTCCTTAAACATTAACGTCTCACTAGAGTACCATGTGACGTAAAATAGTTCCAAACAACAGTAACAAAACACAACTTATTTGTCTGATTTTGCAAGAATGGAAGCAAGACAAATATGCGATAAAGCTGAAAAGAAGGCAGGTGATGCTCGTCTTCGGAGAGAACTGTTGGTGTCTAAGTAGTAAAGATGGCCATACAACTGAGGTAGAAGAGGTTTCAAACTTGTGCTCAGGTGGGTCAACCTATATATAATTTAATATATCAAAGTTTAACAAATATATATTCCAGTATACCAGTATGCTAATACCATCTTAGCATCTATATACATTATTAAAGCACATATAGTCAAGTAGGCCACTACTACACCAACGTTACCTATTTACATTTGATATTCTATTGATTCTAAACAATGCCTTGATATTATTTTTCAGAAGGAAGCCAACATCAGAATCATTCTCTACTGCTGTCACATTGCGATACACTGCATAGATTCAAGTGCCATCATCATCCGATCTCCTGATACAGATGTTTTCCTCTTGCTGATGAAGTTTTCACAGAATATCAGAATACCACTAATCATGGCACTGGTGTTACAGACAAACCAAGGTTGGTTGGCATTAGCTCAGCAGTCCAGGCAATCGGCAATGAGCTATGCAATACATTGCTTTCATTTCACCGGCTGTGATTCTATAAGTTCATTTGTGCGTAAAGACATGTCTCACAAGCTTGATGAATTTGATGAATTGGAGACATTCACATGCCTTATGTATGTAGCAAAGACAGGTGTAAAAGATATCAACAAGCTTCGATACACTATGTTTATGACACGTTATACACCAAAGAACAAATTACTGTCCAATATCAGGCTCTCATCTGGAATCAAGCTGATATGGCATGTCCAGTCTTGTCAAAGCCAGAAAATGGTCATGGATGGCATCTACAAGGAGACAAATTGAAGTACAAATGAGCAGAAAATGAAATGCTCCCGATGGAACTTGTTGATTTGGTGCTGGAGAAGGAAGATGACGATTTGTTTGACATAGATCACTAGCTATGTTTTTGACCTTAATGATGAAGTATAATAAATACAATATTGAATAAAGCATATGTAATATTTTCTTGAACAATAACGAAATAGCTCGAAAAAAATCTCAAATTTTATACCAAAATCCAGCTTTTTTCTATCTTTCTTTGATTTATTTGTGACCTTGTATGACCAAGGTCATGGTTGAAATCAATCGGGCGTCATCAGAATTATGTACCTGTAGACACTAAGTTTGTGTTTTTATGTTGCTTAGTTTTAGAGATACGACGTTTTCTAAAATTGCAATATTTCATCACCACGTTGCCATGGAAACAGTCTGGCGCCCACACCCACCAT